TTTTTGTATACTGAAACCGCACTGGCTCCGACCCCCTTAATTAATAAAAATTTTCCAATAAGGATAACGGTATAATAGGTACTAGTTTCCTAACGGAAAATAATTCGATAATAAATTTAGCAAATAAGACATTAGAAATTAACATTAACGATAAGAGTATAGTATTAAAACCTAGAACAGAACCATTGTATCTATACCTATACTGCCCTGCTAAGCAAAAGTGCCGTAAAACTCAATTTCTTATTTTTGAGAAAAATGAATGTTTGTTTTTTTAATTTTATTATAACTTTATTATTTGTTATCCCAATTAATTTAGTATAAAACATATTCACCTTTATAGTTTTTTTGACGAGGAATGCAATGAAATAATAAAATAAAACCAGTGGCGCCGAACATGTATGGCAAGTGGGGTAAATACCTCAGAACTTTTTTAGGGGGTGGGTGGGTGGGTCGGGACTCGTGAATGATGGCTTTTATTATTTAATATTATTGTATTAAATAGTTTACAGACAACAGATAAACAAGAGTGTAAGACTCAGCTTTAGTCGAGAGACAGTTAATGCTGTAAGTAGTATGCGCTGTAGGCACTAATCACTAATAAAGTAATAAATAAGTAATGACTAATAAGACGTAATAACTAATACCCTGCGGCCTGCACCGACGCATGATAACCAGTCACCCATTCTACTACCACCCGCCTAATCATAACGCATTATGCCCGATAGTGGGAGTGCACGTTCTGTCGTTGAACAGTAATATTACTGCAGAAGCGGCTATTTTTAGAAAACAAATTGGAATTATTTAAAAATAATATGAAATATATTATATTAATATCACAGTCCATACTCTATGGTATAAACTATTTTGTGATAAATATAATGAAACGACTAACCACTAACGAGACAAAAATAATTTGTTTGGGCATTAGGAGTCTTGTACTCTTGTGCAATAGTTGTATACTTGTATGGTTAAATGGTTACAACTTAAAAAGTATATTTACTCGTGTTCTTGATTCGCAACTCTCATGCCTGTTATTTTTCGTTATTTTTCTAATAATAAAAATATATATTATTAATATATTAAGTTATTAAGTATGAATTTGACGTGTGAGTTTTGTCGACGTGATCGAAATAATCAAAATGATACAAATTGGAAAAGACACATCGAATCATGTCAAAAAAAAAAATAAAAGACAAAAAGTTAATTTGGATGGATTTTTTAAAAAAACAAATAAAATCTCTACCTGTAAGTATTCTTCAATTAAATAAAAACTTTAAATTCTCTGTAAATTCATGTACCTTATTACCTTAATACTTTTATAAGAATAAAATAATATTTATTTAAATTATTTAAGCTGTTCAACGAAGTGACATGATGGTTAACGTAGATGCCTCTTCACCGTCTTCGAGCACAGTTAAAACATCCAGTATGTACATTTTATTCTTGTTTTTAGTGTTCATTAGTGTTTTTATTTCCCTCTGTTAATATATTAATTCTGACTTTAAAATAAATTAGTATGCTATGTCACTGTATTACTGTATGTATAATCATGTTAAATTTATATTTTAAAGTTGATAAACTAGAATTGTCGTGCAAAAATTCAACTACAGCTATATCCAGTCCCAGTGAAAATTTAAGTCAGATGCAATATATTGCTTCATCTGAATTGAGCACAAATCATTTTGATTCAGGTTATTATATTATACTAATTATATAGGTACCAATATATCTACATCATTATATTTATGTTCTGTAATTTAGATAAAAGTGTATTAAAAAAAATAAATATACAAATTATTCCTGCAGATAAACTAGTAGAATTGGACAGTTTCGATAAAAATAAAAGCAATGATGAAAATATATAGATGGATGAAAAAAGTGAAGCACCATCTCCAACAACTGATCACGGTTAGTAAATGGTTTGTTTATAATCAAACTGACATATTTTGAATTTGAAATATAACCATAGATAGCAAGATATATTAATGTTTTGAATATCAATAATATATTATCTGTGTGTATTTCATAGAAAATTAACTAATTAAAAAGTTATTTTTTTAAAATTTTTCAAGTTGACTATTTAGTATATTCTCTAATCAACTTAATTTTTAATAACCAAACTAGTTAATGGATCTATAGTAATTAATTTGATTTATCCAGTTGATATGTAAAATAATTAGTGAAGTTAAAATCATATTTTTAGCTTATACGTAGGTGTGTAATAAGAAAGAATAATATAAGATGCATTTTTGTAAAAATAATTTATTATTATAAGTGCACTATCACTATATGTAGCACCCAAATGACAATTATAAACAAATAAGTTATTTTATTTTTAACTGAGTTAAGTTAATCATTTTAAACTTTTAGAGAAAAATATATTATTTGTTAACTATTAATGTTGACTTAACTTAAATAATCTAAGTAATTTGTTTCATAAGTTTGCCTATTTTCGGTGTATTTTATATTTTAGTTTTAGTATAAAATACTATACATCTATACCTATGTATTTTTGTATACTATAGATCATCAATTACTTTCAAATGATCTTACCAAAATTTCTGTTGATGATATATTGACAGAGAAAGAAGTCGAAGGACCAATACCGTCTCCAACAACTGATTATGGTTAGTAACTGGCTTTGTTTAAATCAAACTGATTATATTTTGAACTCAAGCTATTGATAGCAAGAGAGTTTAATATTTTGAATGTCAATATATTATAATTATTATATGTGTATATGCTTTTTATGTTTGTTTTAAAAACATAATATAACATAGCAAACTATACATTCTGAATAATTAATTTAATTGTTATGTTTAATATAATACCTAGTGAATTGAACTCATGTATTCCTGGTTAGTGATTGACCATTTATGCTTTTATTAATGCATGCATATTTTGTTTTAAGGACAAAGTGATTCAAGAACAGAGAACGATCCTGTAAGATTTTCAAATACAAACAAAAGATTAAGTTTTGAAGAGAAAAAGTATATTTTAAACTTGGGTGCTTCTCAACCAACATCTCAGCAGATGCCATTCCAGAAATTCCCAAAAACTAACAAATACAGTTTCCATCCTCAGTGGTACACTAGAACTTTGCCTGATGGATCTATAGGATACCGTAAATGGTTATCATATTCAATTTCATATGACAAAGTATTTTGCCTTTATTGCATGTTATTCGGTAAATCTCCTAAGAAAGCATGGGTTTATGATGGTGTTTCTCGTTGGAAGGATGGAAACCATATGTTAACATTCCATGAAACTTCATCTATACACATAGCTGCATCAATTGATGCAACTATACATGAGAAATGTTCCCCAATATTACCAGCATTAGAAGAAAAAAAGAAAATTGATGTTCAAACTAACAGAGTAGTTGTCAAACAACTGATAGATATTACGCTATTTTTAGGAAAACATGGACTTGCGTTTAGAGGCCATAAAGAAAAGTGGACAGATTCTGTCCGTGGAAATTTTAAAGATCTAGTTATTTTATTAGCCGAATATTCACCTGTATTGTCGTCATATATTACTCTTTTAAAAGATAAGGGAAAATCTATGACATCATTAATATCATGGCAACGACAAAATCAGTTGATTGATGCTATTTCAAATTCAATAAACAATTCGATCTTACAAGAAGTTAAAAATGCTTGTGTTTTCAGCATATCTATTGATACAACATTTGACATATCTAGACAAGAACAGGTGTCTTTCATAGTGCGTTATGTTGATGAAAGCAATGGTATGATCTATGAACGTTTACTTGCAATGTGTTCTACTGCATCTACTAAAAGTGAAACACTATTTAATATCTTCAAAGAAGTTTTTAATAAAACTTGCCTTGATTGGAAAAAAAACCTTATAGGACAGTCATATGATGGTGCAGCTAATATGAGGGGCGAGTATAATGGCTTACAAGTTAAAATTAAAAATGAAAATCCCCATGCTGTTTATATTTGGTGTTGGGCTCATCGTCTGAATTTGGTAGTGGAACAAGGTGTTGCAAGTTGCCTTGAAGCAGTTGATTTCTTTGGAATTTTGGGAAAAGTCTTTGATTTTATATGTAGCAGTAAAAATCGTGTTTTTCTTTTTGATAAAAATCAAAAAATGCGTAATCCCAAATTACCAGTTTGTCGTTTGAAACGTGTAACTACTACTAGATGGAGTAGCCACTCTACAGCTTTAGGTACAATTTTACTGACTTGGGAATCTTTAGTTGATACACTGGAAGATATCTGGACATCAGAAGCTTCATCAGATGCATCATCATTTCTTTCATATTTTCAATCTGAACGATTTCTGTATACATGTTTTTTATTTAAACATATTTTTTCCATACTTGATCCATTAAGCAAAACCTTCCAAGCAAAAGATGTAGATCTTATCACAGCAACATCAATGATAAGATCTAAAAAAGAACAATTATTAAAGCTCCGCGAAGACTTTAAATCAATTGCTATTGAAGTGAAGCAATTCATTGAAAACCATAAAGATGAACATTTTACTCCTTTACCACAAAAACGAACAAGAAAAAGAAAAATGATGCCTGGAGAACAAGCAATAGATGAACCAATTTCTGACCCTTTGACTAATTTTAAGTATCACACTTTTTATGTAGTGCTTGATATCATATACAGTCAGATCAGTCAAAAATTTAATGAATCAACACTGTCTATATTTAAAGATTTATCACTAATAACTAAAAAAAGGATTTTAGAAATAAAAACGGATAATAAAAAATTACCTAGCGATGCCTTTGAAGGTGTAGCATCAATATATTCTAAGTATTTTAATGCAGAAATATTAAGGACAGAATTCATATGGCTTGTTAGTTGTTTTTCTGATTTAGAAAAAACCATTTGTCTTCCAAAATATCTTCATAAGAATAATAAAACACATTCTGATTCTGAATCCCATAATTCTGATTCAGAGTCTGATGAAGAATTAATTCTTAAAGACCATATTGAAGATTTTACTAATAGCAGCTCTCTTATTTATATATTTAAATTAATTTGCAGTTCAAATATCAGATTTACACTACCAAATATTTACATGCTGGTCAAAATTGCAGTGACATTACCTGTTTCCAGTGCTTCTACCGAACGCAGTTTCTCAAAACTTAAATTAGTAAAAACTAGATTGAGATCAACTATGGCTGAGTCTAGATTAGAAGGCTTAATGCGCATTGCATGCGAACAAGATATTGAAATTAACACTGATAGTGTTATAAATAATTTTGCGAAAAATAGTAGCCAGTTATTAAAATTATTAACTTAATTACCATTTATACTTATGAACTTACAGTGTAACCTGCTTTAATAAAACAATTATTTATGTATACTTAAACAGTTTATATTTTATGGATAAAAGCAAAATTTTAAATCTCTTTGTTGGTTAAATATCTATATTATTAAATTAATTAGGTGCAAAATGTCATTATCTTTCATAAGATAAAAAAAAATACTTTTAGGTGGTTGCAAGCCCGGATTAATTATATATTGGTCCTCTTACAGCTCAAACTAAAAACAAATTGTGTAACAAAATTTGTACAGTTGTATTTAATTACATAATTTTATACCATAAAAAAAATGACTAATAAATTAATAATTATGTAATATTATCATAGTAAGATCACACTATATTGGTTATTAAACTTTAAGATTTATAACTTAGATTTTTTGTGACTACCTATCTATATTATACTTATAAGTTATATAAACTTATAGTATACAGAGTATACTATATAATAAAGAACATCTATTTTATTATCATCTATGTTTGAAACTTAGGCATGTTCAAAACCTCCATTTTAATTTACACAAATTATTAAATATTCAAATATCAATTTAATATGTATCTTATATCTTAATATTAATAATTATTACTACTAATCACTATGAGTAATGAAACTTATGAAATTACAAACATTTATATTTATAATACAATTTTGAATATAAGAATTAAAAAAAATATTTTGTGGAAAGAGGTAGGCCATAGGCCCCAGGACCGTGTCGAGTGGTGCCCCCCCCCCCCCAGCATGGGTTGATGGGTAGGTGGTACCATCAAACAGGGTTTACCCCAGTGGTTTAAAAAAGGTTCGGCGCCACTGAATAAAACTTTTATCCATATGTTACATGAATAAAAGTTATTTTGATGTTATTACTTAGAGCCATAAGCCGTAAATATACCACTATTTACTAAATAAAAACGCCGTAAGTCAATTTTACGGCATTATTGCTTAATAATTATAATTGTCTATAGATATAATTACTTAAACTAATGGCCGTAAATAATTTTATATTTATAATGATAGATATAAGTATTGATAATGACATAATATTACATAAAATATAATAATTTTTAGTTATTGAAATAATTTTTCATATCAAATAGCATTTAAAAAAATTGTCAAAATTAAAATTACTAGCTTAGTTTAAATTATATTAACATATTTCTATTTTATATTAAAGTTTAAAAATGTACATTTTTAACTATGAACTGGTATATTTTCCCAAAACTGTTTCCTATTTTGTGGAATGACTTGTTTCAAATTGTTGAGAATGTCGTTTTTTTTTTTCTACAGGAATTCCACAAGGTCCTTTTAATGGTTCAGGTCTAGCCATTCCGGACATTTTCATTACATTTTTTTTTAAAAAATCTAGTTCTGAATATTCTTCTTCAAAATTACATTTTGTGTACAGAATAAATTTATCTCTAACAGCTTTTATAGATACGACATCTTTTAGTAAGACACGGTTTGTTGATTTACTTATTTTTTGTTGTGATTTATAATCTATCCATAAATAAAAATCAAAGTAATTCATAATTTTCAAATCTACTTTCGATTTATTTGCAGCTCCCACAGCTTTAACAAAATCTTCAAAGTCGTAAGTTTTTTTTGGTGCTTAAGAGATTGTTCAACTTGATGATGAAAACTATCTGCTGACATGAATGTATGTCCAGCTTCGAAAAAATTTAAAACAATTTCATTAGCGGAAATTTGATCAGAATTTATTATATAAACTAAAAATGATAGCAAACACCAGTTTTTGTTTTGGCTACTACAATTATCTAACCAAATTGTAATAGTATTTGCGTCACGATGATGAGAAAAAAAATTGAAAAAAGTGCTAATTAGATCTTCTTTCTTGCGACCACTAATTCCTTCATGCCACACACATGCAAATGGCTGTAAATTTCCTTTTTTCCCTAGAAGTACGAAGCTTTCATGGTATGCAACAATTCGCTTAATGAACAAAACTTTTTTAAAAGTGTCTAACCTAGGTAGCATTATTATTTTTTGCAAATCAACTGAAAAATAAATTGACTTTTCATCGTTATAGTTATTTTTGGCATGTTCTTGATATAATGATCTAGCAGCATTAGCTTTTTTTATGTGGGTTAAATAAGTCGCGCACACAGTACAATCAGGTACCATTTGGTCTTTAGAATGCTCGTGAATTTTGAGACTCTCACAAACCTCACATTCTTCGTGTCCAAGTTGAGTAAACGAGATATTTTTTTTTTTTTTACTTGATCTCTATAATATGCATATGAAATAAAAAAATCAGGTTCAGGATATTTTTCCAAAAAGTTCTGATGCATGAAATTTATTGTAACATCGCTTGGCAAGTATCGTACATTAGGCGCGTGTTCACGGCGATAGTGGGAAATTGTTGGATTGAACGATTCTATATGATTTTCCACTAAATCTAAATGTTTATATTTATTTACAGACAATTGTCTTCCACGACCATCGATATAAGGTTTAATTTTACCTTTAGGTGTAGATCTAAGGACATCTAATACCCTATCATTAGTTTTTTTAAAACCCAACGTACTTAAAAAGAATGGTTTACAAACTTGAATTCGTAAACCATCACTGTTTGTTAAAAAAAATTTAAACACATTTTTCCTTTTTGTAATTTCATTTTTAGAATTTTTATTAGTTTCGGAGCTTTCACAAGTGCTATGTACAAACGATCTTCTATCTTGCCAGTTCATTTCCCAATACTGATAATTAATATCCTTGCGTCTATTTTCAATTATATTTAAAATACATTTTAATCTACACATTTCTCTGTCACATCCTAGTTGTACTACATGATTTTTTTTTTGCTGTTCAATTTTTTTTTGTTTTCTGCTGGATATGCTGATCGCATATTTTTTCCTCTTCCTTACATCTCCAAATTTCGTATACATTTCTTCTTCTTCACTTATAGATATTTCATTCTCATTGCATTCAAAACCATCTTCAAAAACCACGGGTAATGAATTAATATCTAATGTCTCTGTATGCATCAAATCGTCTAAAAATTTCCGAATAATACTGAATAAATATAAATATTATAATATAATAATGTAGATAACAATTTAGAAACTATTAATATATACAATGCCGTTACTTCAGAAAAAAAATTGAATTGCTAAGCAATAACGCTGCAACTTGGGTAGAACATAGAAATATTAAGCAAAAATGCCGTATCTATCAAAATATTTACGGAGTTTATGCTTAGTAAATGTATGATACGGCGTTCTTACTTAGTAGTTCTAATTTTCTTCGTTACTTACGGCGTTTCTAAATAACGTTTTATGTGTTTGTAGCCTATCTAATGTGATTTTGGGGTTATTTTTTCTACAGAGAATGTGTTTACCGATCAGATGCCGTATCTATCTAATTTTTTTTTTTTTTTCGAGTTACGGCACTTTTTCTTAGCAGGGCAGTATAGCTGCAACGGACATAGAAAATAAGGACATTATAATTCATAAATAAGAAATAGTAGTAGGAGTTTTGTGGAAATATTATGGACACTGTACACAACAATGAAATACTGATAAGTGTGTTAAATATAATTGAGGCATCCGATATACTAAACTATGCAAACAATTACTTAATAGGGCGACATTCAATTATGCAATTATACCAATACCCAGGACTTATGAAGGGGGTTTAAAAAGAATGTGCATAATTATGAACGACCTATATATAAAAAAAAAGAGAAAAATAATATATTTTATAATAATTTAACTTACATTAACGTAAAATTTCCATAAGAACACTATGACCAAAGAGAATATATAATTTATGTACTTATATTTAAATTAATTTCAATTATGTATAAATATTTTGTAACAGGAAAAGATATATAAAAAAAAAAAATGTAAACATGATTAAGTGAAATCGTGTAAATTTTATAAGAAGCTGTTCTAACAATATATTTTAGTTAAAGGAACTACATAATTGTAACTGAAATGTTGTATTTTCAGGAATAGAAAATATGATTTAACTTTCATGTATGAAATAAGTGTGAGCACGATTGAAATCGTGTTAGTTTATTAAGAATTTATTTTTAAATGTAATTGCTAACAAGTAGCAAAAAATTATTTTATATAATCATAATCCAAAATACTAATACTAATATTAAGAGAAAATGTAACGAAAGAAAAAGAAAAAAAATGTGAAACCACTAACACCTAAAAATTAAGATAATACGCAAATTTTTAAGATTTCTGTTTCGTACAGAACATAAATCTTTTTTTTGGAAGGGAGGTGTTACGTACCGTGTTATTTCAACACATATACTATACGGAGAGGTGACGCATATACCGATGAGATAATATATTCAAACAATGTAGCACCAACGGATAGGGCGAACGCCTGCACATCGTGTTATTTAATATAATAATTAAGACTTGATCACACGTCCTGGACTTCTCAGAAATGATGAGTAAACGATAATGTTAACATTGTACTACTTAATATAACAATTAAGACTTGATCACACGTCTTGGATTTCTTGGAATCGATGAAATCGCAGGAAAGGCACCCAACTGAATAATATATTTAATTTAGAGAACTCCTTTAGGTCATCGGAAGTCGCCACCTCCCCAGTCACCACTCTTGACGGTTAACCATATATAAGGGAGACCGGGACGAGAGCTCAGGAGACGGTTAGGGATATTCGAGACGCTCAGAGGCAGGTCGTAACACCACTCACTCCATCTTGTGCTTGGACGCAACAATATTTAGCAAATACATATACACATATTATTATTATTTTACACTTATAAACAAACCCATTATATTGAATATGATTAACTCTATTACCAACACCTATTATTTTATGTTATATGTATATAAACATAACATAACTTTTTGTTGTACATAACAAACAACAATTACATATCATAAATTATTTTTGACACTTAAGTGCACTGTAGATTTGCTGTATCCGTTATTGTTACCATACTTTATATAGTACTTTTAGTTATTTCTTTTTGTCATCATCATCATCATCATAGTATATAACTTCAATAATATTGTTATTTTGTTAATATTGTTGCATCCCTTATGTCAACGTCGATTCATATATCAACGTAGAAATAGAAATACTAATGTTTGCTAGTTAAAAGATTAAGTCTTTATTTAATACAATTAACTCGTACAAGAATACAATTTTATAAGCACAAGATGGTGTGAGTGGTGTTACGACCTGCCTTATAATGAAGTCGTATAAGGTGTATATGAATGATATTCAATTTTCGTAATTTTAGAATCTGTTTCAAACCTCGAACTTATATCCAAAATATCGCTTTCAGGCATTCTGTTTCAATTTATAGCCTAACGCCTTTAAAATGTTTTTATTTTTCACTGTCAATTTTTTAACTTTACTTGATGTTGACGGTAATACTTTAGTCGAATGATTAGCTAGTCTAACCTGAAATAATGGGCTTATATTAAATTTTAATCCCAAGTCAAGATCCGTAACGTTTAATATGTAGTACAATTGTTAATGTCTCACAAAAATTATCGATTTAATTTAAATCTTGATCAACTAATTGAATAGTTATTGAATCAATATTTGTTTTGTTCAATTTATAATAAATAAGGTTTGGTGGTGATTGAACCACTTTTGTTCCAGTTTTCCCACTAGGGAAAAACTCGTAAATTGAATGAGTTTGAACGTGATTACTGAATGATCCTTGAGCAATATTACACATCACTTTTATACAGTTAATTGTGTTTAAATTCACAGCTTTTTCCGAATGATAAATATTATAATAAGATCCATAATATTTTCGGTTTCCAAACCCTAATACAGAGCCTATACTGTTTGGATCCGTAAAGTTTAGTTACATTTTATAACCGATCTAAAATCGATAGGATCAAGACTTACATCAAATGTTAAATCAATTTGATACTCATTATTGAAGTCTAAAATCGGTTGTTTAATTTTATTGTTAATATCTGTAATGTTATAATATCCTCTTGGGAAATTGAATGAAAAATAATAATCAAAAAACTCTATGTCTATCCTATTATTTGTTGAAATTATGTTTGGAAATGAATTGAACGTTTGTAAACATAATAAAGCTATTTCTGAGTCTTCATTAACGTTTAAAGACGGAAAATAATTTGTAGTCAATGTAGTATCATTCCCGGTTAAACTTAGAGTGATTGATTCATACATTGTAAAAATTTAAGACATAAATGTCCACAGTTAAATGAATTATAATTCTGATAATTTGAATAGTTATATATGATTTTGTTTCCTTTAAAATATTTTTGTAATTCAATTGGTGGAGGTAAATCACCAAAGCTGTCAAAGTATGTTACTTTATCCTTATTTTTATAAAACGCTACCCAATGACTTCCATCGCCTGAAGATATATCCAAGTTTAATATTCCACATTCAATTTTAAGCGGTTTTTTAGGTAAGTCGTCACGTGAAAAGATTCCACGGAAATGACTAATATTAAACTCTCCAACATATTTTATAATATCTTGAGATGAAAGTGGTCTATTAGGCAGCGTATTCATCAGTTTTTTTTTTCTTAACCTATTATTCTTCAGATATAATCCACTACCTTTTTTTCTTTTTGAATTTTGTATTGCATTATACACACTAGCACTTCCAGACAGTAAACTACTAAGTGCTGATAATCCTGCAAAAATAGGTACTAAGGGAATCGCACCTCCTGTCTGACCCGGTATCAAAATCTGTCTTTTACCACTATAATTTTTCTTAACCTTGCTTCTTTTTTCGCTGCTAATGAACTATTTTTTTTTCTGGCTTGTTTTTGTCTACTTTTATAACCCATCCCCATTTTTTGTTTAGCCTTCATCGCATTTGTTACCAAGTAAGCAACAATTTTCTCTTTTCGAGGAGTGTCTTTAGCTTTAAATCTTTCCCAAGAACGATTTTCTAACACTTTATCAGCTTTATGCCTTTCATTTAAATTTTTACTTTTCGCGTACACTAAGTCGTGATCGCGACAAGCGTTATCTAATGGGTTTATTCCTTTATCACCACGATCTATTCGCTTTTCTAATTTCGTACCAGGACCACAAAACTTATAACCAGGAATGTGAACTTCAAACGGAAGACTATATTTTAAATGTTGATACTCAAGTAATAAAAAAATTTTCAAGACACGGTCCGTTATTACCCGACACTATACGTGCTATTATAGTTGGTCCTAGTGGTTCGGGTAAAACAAATATAATTTATAACCTAATCACACGTGAAAACGGATTAAGATTTGAGAATATTTATTTATACTCTAAAACTTCTAATCAGGAAAAATATATTTTATTAAAAAAAATAATAGATGATATAAAGGGTGCTAATTTTTTTATATTCACAGACGCTGACAAAGTTATAAAACCAAATCTAACTAAAAAAAATTCTATCATTATATTCGATGATGTATCATGTGGCCCGCAATCGATTATAAGAGATTATTTCAGTATGGGTAGACATTCAGATGCTAGCTCTGTATTTTATTTAGCACAAACATATTCTAAAATTCCAAAACAATTGGTGAGAGATAACTCAAACTTTTTAATAATACTAAAACAGGATGACACAAATTTACGTCATAAATTTAATGATCATTCATCGGCAGATATGGATTTCTCAGAATTTCGGAAAATTTCTCATTTATGCTGGAATCATAATGATTACGGATTTATGATTATCGATAAAACACGTGAAATCAATAAAGGTAGATATAGATGTGGTTTTCATACTTTCATTAAAAAATAAAATAATTATATAAATATAGTTGTAATTTAGTTAACATCTACATAATATTGTTTTAAGTCGGAGGAAACAGTTATATTAAATTATTATTTCTAATACGTGCGTTACCCCAGCACCCCCACATACGATTTTCATTATTTTTTTTTTACCAATATTTAGTATGCAATTAGTATGAATTTGTATGACCATTTTTCAAATTTGTACGAATGTAGTTTTTGCCCCACAAGCAAAAAACAAGGGCGGTGCTGGAGAAACGTTTCCCCAGCACCCCCCCAAAGAGAACCGTTGGGGTCAGGGTAATTATTTCGGTCCCAACATTTAGTACGTAATTTGTATGAATTTGTATGCCCGTTTCCGAAATTCGTACGACCTTCCGTCCGAGTACAAATAGCGTTCCAATGATTCGGGCATTTCCCCAGCACCCCCCCAAAGAGAACCGTTGGGGTCAGGGTGATTATTTCGGTCCCAACATTTAGTACGTAATTTGTATGAATTTGTATGCCCGTTTCCGAAATTCGTACGACCTTCCGTCCAAGTACAAATAGCGTTCCAATGATTCGGGCATTTCCCCAGCATCCCCCTCCCCCCAAAGAGAACCGTTGGTAATAAATAATTGCGATTCTGGATGCTATATGTTTTTGAAACATAAAATGAAAAATCCACATGGGTTCGACACTTACTGTTTAAGTAAAATAAATAAATATTATTATAATACATTTCTATCTATTTAGATATATTATTATAATTTATTACTTTATTAGTGCTCGTAAGTTCTTGCATTTGCAAATTAATCTTGCAAATTTGTAATCAATGACATAAAATTCCATTTTAAGGTACCCTGGTTAAATATGTGATGTTTTATTTTGCATATTTTTGCTTATTTAGATGTTATTTGCCTATCTGGCATATTTATGCGTTTTATATTTTATTGGGCATATTTAGTGTATTTTTTGCCAAAATTTGATAAAATACGCAGTAACTAATTTTTTACACCGTTTAAAATATATGAAAATTGTCATTATGTAAGACTAATAAAAATAAAATGCTAATTGCCAATATTTCGTGCATGCATTATATAATTAGGTAATACAAAAGATGTTATATGGATATTTCTTGTTCCCATAAATTACTTATGATTTCTTACTTTTTTAATTTTTTTAAGTGCGTAATTTTAGTTTTTCTGTGCACATAAATGCATATTTTTTAATTTATTAAGGCATAATTCACCAGTTACTAATGCATAAGTGCATCCTTTTTTAGAGATTTTTTAGGGCATGAACTTATGTGCCCTGATTATTATAAACGTATGATTCTATAATAGCGGACACTTGATATTATACCTTAATTATAGGTAGTAGGTACAACACAAATAATAATTACATAAATTGATAAATATCGATCAGAATTTAAATCGTTAGATTTTTTACTTACTAGTAAAAAATAAAAGCTAATTATTAAATATTATACATGCAATGTTTATACAGGGTGTCCCATAAAGTGCGCAACTTTTGAATCAGCCGCCATTTTTTAAATTTTTTGTTGGCAACCTTGTTTCTATCATGTCTAGTATCTATTTTTACTCCGATTCAATTATAAGTTGTTGTATTCTATATTGGTTCAGTCATCACTCATCATGGAGTGGTTTACAAATAAACAACGTGTTCAGATCGTGAAAAACTTATTATCAAAATCGCGAAAGTGGGGCTGAGACGGTAAGACGACTTCGCGCGGTTTTCGGGAGAAATGAAACACCCAACAAGTCTACAATTTTGCGTCTGATAAAAAAATTTGAAACAATTGGTTCTGTTGCTACTGTAAAGTCACCTGGGCGAAATAGCACTCAATGCATTGCACAACAAATCGCTGTCGTGCAACAAAGTGTAACAGTTAATCCAGTAAAATCAATTCACCGACGGTCACAGCAGTTGAGTATTCCACGCTGTTCATTACAAAAAATATTAAGTAAAGACCTTCATATGCATGCATACAAAATCCAATTGGTGCAGCAACTCAAAACAGCGGACCATCAAAAAAGAGGACGATTTTGCGAATGGATTGAAGAGAGACTGTCAATAGATGAAAATTTTGTGAAAAACATAATTTTTAGTGACGAGGCCCGTTTTCACCTCAGTGGATTTGTTAATAAGCAAAACTGCAGGATTTGGGGGAATGAAAATCCACGAGTAACCCACGAACATCAAATGCACCCGCAAAGAACGACTGTGTGGTGTGGTTTTTGGTCCGGTGGAGTCATAGGCCCATTTTTCTTTGAGAATGACGAAGGCGATCCAGTCACTGTCAATGGAGAACGTTTATCGTCGCATGCTAACCAGCTTCTTATGACCTTTTTTCCTTCGAAACATTGATATTCAAAACCTATGGTTTCAACAGGATGGTGCAACATGTCACGTCTCGCATGAAACAATGAACATTATCAAAGAAAAATTCCCAGGAAGACTGATATCACTGCGAGGTGACCAGGAGTGGCCTGCCAGGTCCTGCGACCTGACTTTCTGTGACTTCTTTATGTGGGGTTATGTAAAATCTCAAGTGTACGCTAACAAACCGCGTACCATTCAACAACTGAAAGCGGAAATCATACGCGTCATTGCCGATGTCACGCCAGACATCTGTGAGCGGGTTATTGCCAATTTCATCGATCGCGTCGACACGTCATGTCGACTCAGTGGAGGTGGTCATATGCCAGATATTGTTTTCCACCATAAAGTTGGAAATGTTACTGAATGTAAATATATAAAAATAAATGTATTTTGATTGAAATATAACTGTTTTATTATTTTTTTAAAAGTTGCGCACTTTATGGGACACCCTATATTAATCAGTAATTATGTTGAATATATTACAATAGTATTTTATTATAATATATTAAATTAAAATAAGTAACTCTCAAAATCATTATTGTTTTGTTCAATTTATTACAAAATAATTAATGAATCGTTTATGAACAGTTTCTGAAGATTTGGAATAATATATTATTCTATTGTTAGCTTTAATTTATATTGTTTTTAGTATAAAAAAAAAATAAATTATCAGTAGACATAAAGCTATTTTCGGCTTAGAGAATATTGAGAATATCGTATTTAAAATATGATCAACTATCTTATAGCAAAACAATGAACAAAACAAGGAGATAGAATAATCATATTATTGTATAAACAATTATAATGTTGTTTGAAAAAAAATAGTATATAGCGTTTATTAATAAACTTTATTTGTATACTTTTTTTTTTATTATTATTATTTACTATTAATAGTTCTAAAAATATTATTTTATCTTGCAATCGAATTTAAATATAATGCTTAAATGGGTATATTTGATTATAGTTATTAATTCATATTTGATTACAACCATACTATTAACGTTTACTGTTTACTATTTTGTGTTCATTAGTGTTTTAGTGATATTTTGTTAAAATTCTTTTATTTCTGTGTTTCAATTTTTTATTTTTAATAATAAATATGAAAGGAAGAAAACCAGCTATAGATCCATCAAAAATTGTAGCAGCAGTAGTCAAATTTAAAGACAGAGTTGTCAATGAAATTAATGGTAAAAAGGGTAAGTTTTAAGTTAAATAACTATTGTAAAGAATTGTATGAAAGAATTATTTGCTTAATGTAGGTAGATAATAGGTATATACTTCAATAGACTCTGGTAAGAACCTAGGTACCTAAACACTAACATTATTATGTATAAACAGTTTAAATTTCAAAAGAAATTGTTTGACTGATGGTATTGGTATATTAATATCATCTGGTTTATTGAATTTTTAATTCTATATTATACTTAGCCAGTTAAATTAAAATAATATTTTAATAGGTACCTACCATGAAACATTATGTTCTTAATTAATTTATGGTTTTGTACAAAAATTATTTTATTGTTTAAGTCTTCGAGCAAAGACCTTTGGTAAAAAATTATGTTTTATTTTTAATATATAATATAATACTCAAAATAATAAAACATATCATAATACAAATAATATGTATTGTATAATACAATACATATTACCTACATATTATATTATTGTATTATAGGTCTAAGGTTCCACTTGAGGCTATGAGTCTATAACATACCATTTTAGAAATTTTAACTTAAATGTAATTATGTTTCCTTTAATTATTCAATTTGATATTAGATTTGTATACCTTCATAATACTATTTTTTAAAACAAATGTATATGTTTATACATAATAAATTCAAATTAATCAAAAATAATTTTGAAAAATATTGAAATTGTCATAAGAAATGATTGTTTAATGTTAAGAAACATCTGTACATTTTAGATTCTGAGGTGTGAGCAAAAAAATGTAATGATTTTACAATGACATATGTTTTTCGTTAAGTGGTAGGTACAAACTTGCTCATCTTTTTATCATTGTATATTTTTTTATAGAAATTGTTGTTGCTACTAATGCAGTCTGGAATGACATTAGTATTTTTCTAAATGGAGCTGTAAGTAAAAATGCTTTACATGTTTTTGTATATAATGGACGACATGGCATAAAAAAAGCTTTAAATCTCATTACTAACGAAGATGCCATTACTTGTATGGCTTTATCTGATCCAATGGTACTTTCTAATGAGTCAGGTATTATTTAATTTATCCATTAATTTAAATTTAAATTAAATAGGTAATACTTTATTTTTTTTTTTTTTAGGTAATTTTACTGATAGTAGTTATGATTCAGAATGCAGTCTTCCAAAAAAAAAATTTGTTTTTACATTTACTCCTTCTGAATGGCTGCAAATGCAACCAGAACAAGTGTTATTCAAGTGCAATGATCCAGCACGTCCAATGAGAAGTTCAAGATCCTATTATGTATTACCAAAAGGTTGTTGGACTTCATTATTAGCCGAGCACTTTTGGGAACATACAAATTTGCCATGTTGTTTATCATTTAGAAATGGAAAAGTATACAACGGAGGAAATATTTATGTCGTGGTCATAGGCCGGTGTTCTATTTGTAATTCTCATTTCAAAGGAATTGTTGAAAATAAGCCTTCTGTAAATTCAAGGTAGTATCACAATTGTTCATATTGTCACTGTCATGCATAAAGTGATTAAATGAAAAAAATAAGTTGTTGGAATTTCGAAATATAAAATTAAATTATAAAAATGTTCACTTGATCACTTTTTGCATGATGGTGATGATAATATTATTTCCAATTAGTAAATTATAATATAGGTATTTATAAGTACAATGTATATATTATAATAATTTTTTTAAATTCAAAATGAAGACTCTTATTTCAATTTTTACAGAGTACTTATGAAATGTACATACATTGGAAATTTCAATGAAGGGCATGAGACAACTAAAAAACGCCGTTTGATTGGACCTGCAATGGATAAAGCTTTAACAGCCATAATAAACAACAACATATCTTGTGAGACATTTAGAGAAATAGAAGCGAATAGACTAATGAAACTAGGTAAGAAGATACTAATGTTAATAAATATGATGGGATAAAATAAAGGTAGGTACACCCACCTACTATTAGTTTTTATTTATTTTAAATTGTTAAATAATGGCACTCATAAAAAAATTCTAAGTTAATTTCAGCTTATAGTATAATATTAGGTATTATATATATTTTTTATTTTTTTTATTCAATTTGATACCTGCAAACTATTTTATAATTTATCTTTAAAAACTTAACTGTATAACTATTAAAATACAAAATAATTTCATCTTTTATCAAAACATTTTAATTTAATCTTTTTCTTAATAATAAGAATAATTTTTTGTTTTAATTAATTGACATATAATATACAAAAGGTAGGTAATCTTACCTCGTGTTGTTATACCACATGTAACTCTTATTAAGATTTAAATATTATTTATTAAGTATATCATTTATTTATATAAATATTTTACAATGTGTAATTTTAAATATTAAATTTTCTTTGGTTTATGTATTTATATTCTACCATATATTCCATTATTATTAACTAGTTATCTAATTAATTATTTTCTAAATTTGGTATTTTGTATTTTCAACAAGTATATATGTAGAATTAATGAATATTTTCAATAATAACTTTGAAAATTATAATATATAAATAATAACATACCTACTTATAACACAATAAAACAAAAATGTAATAGTTTAAACCATTACCTGTATTAAATGTATGATATAAATTTTATATAAAAAAAAAAAAACTACTGTATATGAATCTTTCAAACTTTCAAAACACATATGAACAAATAATTAGTGTAATTTTGTTAAAAATAGTTAATTCTTCTATATTAGGTAATAGTTGTTAATTTAATATAATATAATAGTTATTATTATAGTATATTATAACAATTCAAATAAATTTAGATTCATTATATAATATTTTAATATTTAACTTTTTTTAAATGTTTAAGGAGGCCCTGACCCATCGATTATACCATCAGCAAATGCTTTGCGTGTTTTAAAATCACGAAAATTAACATCTAATAGAAGACATAATGATACACTAACTGCTTTAGCAATGATGAAAACTGAAATCAATTTTAATAATATTTTAAAAGATATGGGTAGTTGTCCTTTTTTCATACACTACCATAGTCCAGAACAACTTCATATATATAGAAATTATTGTAAAACTGTACAACATCCGAGGATAATTATTGATGCTACAGGTTCAGTTGTCAAAAAGTTTATGAAATTTGGATTGGAAAAAACACACTCAATATTTTTATATGAAGCATTAGTTTATGATACAAATAAATGCCATAGTTTCACTGTCACTAATATGATTAGTGAAAGTCATACTACATTATCAATATTTAATTGGTTAGGAAAATTGATTCGCTGTGATATTGCTTCTCCAAGAGAATTTGTTAGTGACCAATCATTAGCGCTCCTCTCTGCCGCTGTACAATGTTTCACACAATTTTCATCGCTCAAAGACTATATTCAAGTTTGCTCAGATTTAGTTATGGGAACTATACCATCCGATTCGTATTGGTTGCCAAGATGTTTTATTCGTACTGATGTGGCTCATTTTATAAAATTAGTATGCAAATGGGTTCCGTTAAAATTATTGCCAAAAAGAGTACGTGAAATCATTATACGATCTATTGGACTGATATTGAAAAGTCAATCATTAGATGAAATTCGAAAAATCTTATTATCTTTATTTATAGTAATCAATAATGAAACCGATGGAGAAGATATAGAAACAGGACGCATGACACCGTGTGAAAACGAAAAAAAAAACCTAATTCAAGCAGTTTCAACAGGTTTTGTGAATTTTGAAGGGCTATTTGATGAAATAACCAATTTCGAAGAGTCAGAAAATGAAAATTGTCCATTAGCTTATGAATATGAAAAAGAGAATGAAGGTCTAGAATCATTGAACAATCCTTTTCAAACTTGGGCTGAAAATATTTATAAGGAGAGCTTAACATATATCAGAGAAGGTGTAGGAATAAATGCTATGTTTGCACCAAACCTGGTACCAAACATTTTAAAATGTATAAAGCTATTGCCTTTATGGTCTGGTCTTATGATACCCATCTTTGGATATGGTGAAGTAATATCAAGTTCAGCAGCAGTTGAATCTAGCTTTAAAAAGTTAAAAACTGTAACCTTTAAAAACACTGATTTACCAGTTAATATCGAACAATTTTTAGAAAATCATATAATGTCACTTCGTGGTGCATCGTTAATTCGTTCCTCAGCAAACTCACATTTATCATCAGCGTTACAACAGACACACCATATTAATGATGAAAATATTGAAAATTTACCTATAACACTTATCCATAGTTCACCAATTTCAGAACACAATGATTATTATGAAAATGATATTCAATTTGATGAAAATATTATTCAATCTGCTGAAAATGATGAAGATTTTATGGAACTACCAATCAATAATAATGAATGCCCTTTATGTAGTACAGGTGTTTTTCCAACAGAAGAGGGAGCTCATAAATGTACAAAGTGTGGTATACCTGTACATGCTCTTTCATCTTGTTCTGGACAAAAATCAGATGATGAAACTTTAAGAATTTGTAAATCTTGTTTAGAACCTAAAAAATCATATTTGAATGATGAAACCACAGCTCATGAAACATGGAATAGAAAGAATAAAAAACAAAAACAAAAATCATACTTAACACCAAATCCATTTTTGCGCCATGTAAATATTAATAATTCACGCAACACTGTTATATTACCTATCTTGAAAAATGGTTCAAGAGCTGAGGAACTTAAAAGCTGCAATATTAAAGATATAGGTAAAATAATATTCAGTAATACATGTGCTTTTGACACATTGGCGTTCATATTTATGGTATCGTACTGTGATAGTGAACATTATAAAAACTATATCGATGGACTTACTTTTATACATCCTTTTTTTAAATTTGTTTCAAATATTGTTAAAAATGGCATAACTTCATCTACTTATACAGAAAGAGCTAGAATAATATTAAATATACTAGAACCTGAACTACAACCACTCGAGTATAATACTTCACTAGCTATTTGTAATACAACAGCAGGACTAGTGATTACAAAAATGAATATAAAAACACCAACTGTAGTTGAAGATATTATTTGTTCGAATCCAAAATGTAAAAGAAATACAAGTCGTCCAGTAGCATTTTTGACATTCCAGACATCAGATGGAAGCTTAAATGGCTTACAACAATTTTTAAACCAACGATTATCCACCGAGACGTCTGTCTGTGGTTACATTTCATCAAAAACATTACTTTGTAGTAATACAAAAACAATAATTTCAAAATTATCATCATTTCACATTTTTATAGAAGTTTTATATTGGAATAGTAAGTATTGTACTCTTTAAATAAATAAGTTATATGTAGTAAAATAATAATAATATAATACAAATTAAATTTAACAATTATAACTTGTACTAATATATTATTTAGATGATGAAACTAGCTGTAGTACTGAAGCTGGCCGTGCTATAGAAGTACAAATTTGTGATATACCTAAGGTTCTACTACACAATGGCTGTTCATATGAACTAAGAGGTATTGTAAATTACCACAGTGGAAATATAAGAACAAGATCATCAATTGGACATTATAATGCATATTGCAAACGCAGTGAAAAAAGATGGGAAATTATGGATGATCTAAAACTTAAACCAACCCCAACAAAAGAAAATGCAAAAGTTTATTGTGAATACTTAATATATACAGTTTAATACATATTTGTTTTCTATACATTTAAAAACTTAATATTATATATAAAAAAAAAATACTAATATAAAAGCAAATAGGTTAATAAAAAAAATTAATTTTATATAATATGAATAAAGAAGTTTTAATTCATACTTATATACTTACTACAGAGTACAGATAGGCTTAAGCTTATAATTAATATTATTTTATACATCTATATTACAATACCTATAGTGTTTTAGTTTTTTTTATCAGTTTTTTATTACTACAATTTGTATTTAACTTTATTAATATGTTTGTTGATAGTTATTGCTATTAAAGATCTGTTAAAATATCATTATAAATAATAGTTATTTATTTATTATTTATTTATTTAGGTACACAGAGGGAAAACAATTATAAACAGCTACCAATATACATTATTTTATTATACTTGAATAAACTTGTTAATAATTTTATTATTATTTCAAAAATATCAAAGTATATGGTACTCAGGTAAATAACAATAACAACAATTTTTTAGTAGATTCCACAATAGGTATTATTTTTGAAAATTCACAAAACATCAATTATAATAATTAATCACATGATTAAATATTTTGTAATTTATTTAATTCAAGTTATAGAGATATAACTGTATAAGTATACAAAACTGTAGTTATCAGAAATCAAATTTGTATAAAGCTAGAGTTGGGTAGTATGAAAGTTACATGTATCAATGAGACAATGATTATTGAGTCTTGTATGATAATTCATATATTTTTAATGTTTCATTATTTTACATTGTATAACTATATAAATTAGGTACTTATCTTGTTTTTACAAATGACACAAGACATTTTTTTGGTAAAAATGTGTATGAATTTTATTAGAATTTACAAGTAATACAAAATAAAACACTCAGTTTGCAACCTCCCAAAAATGAAAATCAATATAAAAAATTAACAAATTTGTCTTTGTTATTATTTCAGATAATCTGAAAAACAAGTAAAAATTACTCATTATTACTATTTGATCATACAGATTAGAACTGAGTTGAAATTTGTATTCTTATAAAACAGCAATACATTAAATAGGATATAGATTTAATGGTGTAGGTAGATATTTACTTATTAAACAGAAAAAAAAAATAAAAAATGTATATAAATTATAAATAAACTATAGGTAACATATATAAAACATCACATATTTAACCAAGGTACCTTAAAATGGAATTTTATGTCATTGATTACAAATTTGCAAGATTAATTTGCAAATGCAAGAACTTACGAGCACTAATAAATGATAATAATATATCTAAATAGATA